TTCAAAAAATAATTCAATATGATGGTTTAACAAGTTACATATTCAACTGGGCTTGATAAATTCACAATTAATATTACATATTTAACAAGTAACTAATATAAATGATTTAACAAATAATGTTACACTATTCATAAGTCATGTTAGGGATTTACCAGCAAGGGTAAATACTAAAAAATAAACAATTTTCTATTTCACTTTTTCTCCACAAATTTCCCCTCAAATTGTCATTGTTGAGAAACACAAGTGTATTAACATTTTACCAGTAAAGTTAGTCATTTAACAACCACATTTGGATTTGCACAAGCAACATTATGGACTTAATTAACATGCAATGTGAGAAAATTTACAAGTCATATGAAATATTTTACTTGTAAAATTAGTCAAGTAATGTAGGTTAGATATTTTTGACAAGTAACATTATAAACTTGTTACAAGTGATGTAGATAATTCACAAGTAATATTAGAAATTTTATTTATAAAGTTGGTAATTTAACAAGCTATTGATGTACTTACATAGGGATTTTGCACAGTTAACATCCAAACATTACTTGTTAATAGCATATTTACTCTTGAGAAATGTTAATTTGGAGAAAACGTGAAATGAAAAATTAGTTTTCCTTTTGTATTTACTCTAGCTGGTAAAATTTGATCCCTAACATGATTTGTTAATAGCGTACCAGTACTTGTTAAATCTCTTACATTACTTGTTAAATCCGTAATATTAGTTGTGCATTTATTAATCCCTGTTAAATCTGAAATTTTTAAATCGTTATGTTGTAGTTGTGAAAAATGTTACATTATCATTAATTCCCTTACTTTACTTGTTAAGTCCATTGTGTTATTTGTTAATTATTATCTAACCCCATATTAAATTCATTACAACTTGTTAAATAATTATCAACTTAACTTGTAAAATTCATTATGTTACTTGTTAAAAAAATAACATTACTCTTGTTAAATTCTTGACAGCACTTGTGTAACATGTGAATTTTTAACTTGTGTTTGTCCATAATATGCTAGTCAACTAAACTTGTCAAATAATTAATTTATATGAACATCAACACAATGAAATTGTTTTAACACCTTTCGTTTAATGATTTCACAAGCAACATATTATTTTAACAAGTTAAAGTCAGCAAACGTGAGAATCATATCAGAACTCGCCGATATCAGTAATCAAGATGCAAGCGTGTTATACAAGAGTAAAGGGATTTACATCAATAACAAACAATCATTAAGAAAATAACAACTTCATATTTCTGGATATACAAGTAGATTTAAATATAGATATAGTCACAATCATTTTCTGATTCGCACCCTTATATATTTTTCTTGTTACCTATTCTACATGGGCTCAACCTGCAAAAAAATGCAGGTTGAGTTGAAAAAAATTGGTTCATTTCTATGCAAGGCAGTTTTGGCCCACCCTGCAAGCTTGAATCTGCAGCAGGCTAACCCGTGAGTTGGCAAGTTGACCCATTTATTTTTTTTTAAAAAAATAAAAATTGCATGATCGTTTTCTCAATTCTCAAACCCTTGCCATTATTTAGATTATTAGAATAATTCAAATTACATGCTTATTGCCTACTACCATTGTTATTTGTCATATTTAGTTAGTTGAAATAGTTATAAATCCATGGCATCAGTGTAGCATTCACCCAACCAAAGACTTTTTCATAATTTAATTTCAGTAAAATATTTTCAAGTAGGCACGAACAATATAAACATTGATTTTATTTTTTTAATGTTACATAGGGTTCAAACTCTTTATCGTTGTGCTGTCACATTTGAAGTAGTACCATCCCGAGTGGTATATGAATTCAACTTTCAAATCCTCTTCAATAACTTTTAAATTATGAGTTACTAAACTGTCAAGCTATGAAAAAATCTTAACTTCATTTTTTCTTATATTATCTTTATTATTACATTTTACTTTAATGAACTTAAAATTTCTCAACTAGCAAAAACAAAAAAAAATGGTTAGCCCGCTAACCTATATTCAAATTAATGTCAAATTTAATTTTACTTTCTAGACTTTTACATGTTAATTATATTTTTATGTTTACTTATGTGATGCCAATAATTAATGATAGATAAAGATTTTAACATTATGATGAATATGTATTTTTTAAAATTAAAAAATGTATATAAAAATTCTTTTTAGTGGTGGGTTAGCCCACTAACCCATAAACCCACTGAGGATTGGTAAAAATACAACCCACTCTACTAAGCTTGCAACTTGTTGGCTAGTTTTCAGATCGTGAGTTGACTCATGTTACTAACTTTATTTTTAATGTTTACCATATTCACCAAAAAGAGGGGTGCCTTCCTGTTCGGAGGGTGGAGAAATGGGTTTCATTCTTACCGAAAATAGTGCTCGGGGACAAGGGGGCACGTGCATGGGAAGTTCACACGTACTTAGAGCAGTTTCTAGGGTTGTGGAGGAAAAGCTTTTGCAGACTCATTTTCATTTCAATGAAAAGGGTATATTAGTCATTTACCTTTCAATTTTATTTTCATTTGAGTCCCAAAACTTGCAGTATATTTTCAGAATTTTAAAATTTGATTAGTAAGGGCCTTCTTGGTTTTTAAAAACTGTTTTCTAATACAGTTTTTAAAATTATTTACAAAATAAAATGAAAATTATTTTGGTTAGGTCAATTAAAAACAGTTTTAAAATTAAAAATGAACTAATAGTGATGTTTATAGGCAGTTAATGATAATGATTATTAATAGTAATTAGTTAAGGTAACTATAATTTTTAATAATCAAATGTAGTGTCTTTTAAAAATAAGAAAATAAAGTGAAAACAACTTAAAGTTGTTTCTATTTTTTTTTTTTAAGAATGAAAAATGAAAATACTTTTGAAAACAACTAAATGAGAAATACTTATACAAATAAATTTTTAAATTTTTTGTTATCAAAAATAAAAAATAGTTTTTAAAAATAGAAAACAAACATAGCCTAAATAAGTTACTTCTACGGTCGAAAATTCTCCCTTAAACAAAAGTTGGGTGAATATACATGACACGTTTTGGTCACTTGGTAGCCAGCCAGGATCAATATGTTATAAGCTAAAGTATACATTTAATTTTTTAATTTTACATAATATTTTATTTTAATTTTTTAATTTTATAAAATATTTTTTTTAATCTTTTAACCCTAACACTGTTAGTTTTATTCTAATAAATTTTTATATTAAATTTTTAAATATTGATAAAATATTTTTAAATGTTAATATATTAAGTTTAATGTTTTTAAAATAACAGTAATTGACATAAAAATAATCATTTAAAAATAACAATGTTAAAGTTAAATGATTAAAAAATACTCTATAAAATTAAAAAATTAAATTAAAATTTTATATAAATTTAGAGAATTAAATGTATACTTTAATTTATATTAGGGAGAATGACAATTAAGGACTTACTAAGAACATTAATCCTAATTACAGACCGTGAAATTTTAAAATCTTAGTTAAGGACCATGATCCTTAATTGTGATTAAAAAATATAATTTGTGAGGTGAGATTCATTATTGCCACTTGGGAATTCACTAACCCAACTTGAAAAAATTTATAACGTATATTGTGAAAACGTGAAACCCCAGTTGAAAATGCAATGTTTAACAAAAAGCGCCACTTGGGAATTCACTGACTAGACTTAGAAAAATTTCTAACGTATATTGTGAAAACATGAAACTTCACTTGGGAATCGATTGTTGAATAAAAAACACCAATTTGAATAAGTCACTTTTTATTAATGATTCTCAAGTAGGGTTTCATTTTTTCACAATATACGTTAAAAATTTTTTCAAGTCTAGTTAGTGAATTCTTAAGTGGCGCTTTTTGTTAAACATTCCATTTTCAAGTGGGGTTTCATGTTTTCACAATATACATTGGTAATTTTTTCAAGTTGGATTAGTGAATTCTTAAGTCGCGTTAGTGAATCCCACCTCACAAATTACTTTTTTTTTTATCACAATTAAGGACCATGGTCCTTAACTCTGATTTCAAAATTTCACGGTCTGTAATTAAGATTAATATTCTTAGCAGGTCCTTAATTATCATTCTTCCTTTATATTATATATAAAAACTATAACATCCATGTGCAGAAAATTTTATATGAGAGAAGTACCGTGTATGCCCGTACAACACAATAGAAAAATGTAAGTAATTGTCTGCATAAAGGAGTATGCTCCAAAGTAAACTTTCTCAAGACTATTTTATTCAAGGTTGCAAGTTGCACGCACTAACACGGCCGCCGATCCCATAAAATAATAAACTTTTTAATCTGTATGCACCCCCAGTACATTTCGGCGTTCTAACGACACTGATTGTCTATTCTTGAATTTTCTGAATTGACGTTGACGTTAAAAATCATCCTATATAATGAAATTTTCAGTGCTTAAAAATTATTTTAGTTATCCATTTAATTTTTAAAATTTAATTTTTATTGATTTACCCTCTTACATTTTTTTAAATTATTAGATAAGTCTTTTAAGTTTTAAAATATAAATTGACTAACAAAATATTTGAATATGTAAAATATATATTGATGACTTAAAATATATATATAGTTAAACGAGAATAAATTAATTTTTTAAGTTAGTTTACTTGTTATCAATATAATTCCTTACACTATAATTTGTTCTCTTATTTTTTTTTGTTGAATTTTAGAACTTGTTTTTGCTACATAAATAATTGTATTTATTTTTATTAATTTACATGACTGTTATCAATATTTTGTTATTCATGTTAATAAATTTTGATTATGTTATTTCTTTTTAAATAATAAGGACTAAATTAATAATTAAAATAAATTGAAAAAATTAAATTGATAAAAATTAAATTAAACTCAAAGAGTTAAATTAATAATTCATGCAAATTTTAAAGATTAAAAGTTATATTATTCATTTCTCAATCAAAGACAACACTCTAAAGTTCCTAAATATCGCCAAGCCAAATCATTCTCTTCTCTTTCTATAAAAGGCCACAAAATTCTCCCTTTACACCCATTCTCGCGCTATTCTAGTTTCATCCTTAATTATTTTCAAACACCATGACGAGAGGCACCAAATTAACCTTAACCTTCTCCATCTTCCTCCTGCTAGCTTTACTTCCATCTGTAGTTGTTTCAGAGTGTACATGTGACAAAGAAGAAGGAGATCGCAACAAAGCCAAAGCTCTCAAATACAAAATAGCAGCCATAGCTTCCATTATCATTACCAGTGTAATCGGAGTTTTGATTCCATCGTTAGGAAAGTTTGTTCCGGCATTAAAACCGGAGAGGGACATCTTCTTCCTCATCAAGGCCTTCGCCGCCGGCGTGGTATTATCCACCGGATTTGTTCATGTGCTTCACGATGCATTCAACAACTTGACATCCCCTTGCTTGAGTGAAAATCCCTGGTCTGACTTTCCCTTCACTGGTTTTGTGGCTATGTGTACCGCTATGGGAACCCTAATATTGGAAACATTCGCCACTGCGCATTTCAAGAAACTTCAAATGAAGAAAGTCCAGATTGAGCCCAGTACGAGAGACGATGAAGAGAAAAACTCAGAACACGAAGGAGAGATTCATCTTCATACTCATAATGCAACACATGGTCATCTTCATGGGTTGACTGATACTTCTGACTCATCTGATCAGCTCCTTCGTCATAGAATCATATCACAGGTGTTCATACATACATACTTACCTATGCGTGTGTATTAAATGTTATCATCGTTATTTCTGAGCATTAGTCAATATAATTACGTACTTGTGCTTTTATGGAATATATTCCATATAATGGATGGATGCAGGTATTGGAGCTGGGGATAATAGTGCATTCAGTTATAATAGGAATTTCTATGGGAGCGTCTGAGAGTCCCAAAACCATAAAGCCTCTGATTGCTGCTATGGCTTTTCATCAATTTTTTGAGGGCATGGGCCTTGGAGGTGTTATCTCTCAGGTATGAATAAACGCAAACATACAATGAAGTCTAACAGCCAATTATAAGTCAAATTAAGTACCTTGTCTATGTCATACATATAATTTCTTTTATTTTGAGTTTTCTTAATAATTCACATTTAATTTGTGTAAATTAAAATTTGATGATGTTATCCTTTGACTTGCTTATTTGAAGTCTGATTTTCGGGACAACTAATCAAAGGTCAACACATGTGAATGGGTCAAAAATAACTACAAAATGTAGAAAATACAGAAAGACATTGATATTAATAATTATTTTGATATAACATATACTTGTAGACTATTTCTGGATTGCAAATTTTTTTGGTTCAATAATAAAATTGATGCAATTAATTCCTTAAGTTTGAGATGTTTATAGCAACATTTGAATATATTTTATTTAATTTATATTCTAATTATGATATGATTAATCGATGAAAGTATTTTATATATATTTTTTAAATTATCATATTATGATTTTTAATTTTGTTTAGTTATAACCATTCCGAACCATGGAATTGCCACAACTCTTTCGTGGACTTGAGTTTTGAATGTTTTGGCCAAACAATTTTGGCAGAATGACAATTAGGTCTGAAAAAAATGACTTAATTACAGTTAAGTCCCAGCAAATTTTTTTTGAAAAATACATTGAAAATATCAATCCACGTTACTATAGACTTAGAAGTTTTAACTGCAAATAAGCATTTAAATATCAAATGTAACTCTTAGATTGTAACCAAAATTTTTATTTGTAACTGTTTGAATTGACATTTACAATTTATTTTGTAGAAAATCTTGGCGGGAACTTAACTATTATTAATTCACTCCTTTGGGACCTAATTGTCACTCTTCCAAAGTTATTTTTGCCTGCATAAGTGCACGCTCTCTCATATAATCAGTGCTATTCTTGTTAGCATCTGTATCACTCTAATTTTAATTAATATTAATTATTATCAATGCCAAATAGTAATAGTAGTAGTAACATAATACATCTCTTCTCTCTATATTTATTATTATTTGAATTTAAATTTGAATTTCCTTTAAATCAATCAATATATAATTTTCAAATAAATAAATTTTATTAGGTTAGTACTCCCTCCCATCTTTTTGAGAATTTTTATCTCTTATTCTTTATTATAAAAGACTCCAACGTCCTGTCTAGAATATATATTAGTATCTTTTATCTTTTACGTTCATAAAAAATAACAACATTTAGTGAGACCAATTATTAAAAGCCACGATTCAACTCCATAAGTGAAGGTATCTTTGAAAAATAACATGCCTTTTTTTATATATTTATTGCATTTAACTTGCTTGAACAATATTTTTTATCTAAGTGATTTGTCTCTTATCCATGCAAAAATAAAAGAAAAAAATATTTTTAACACCCACCCGAACAACCGCTAATAACACGCTCTTGGGATCATCTTGCGTTAGAATTTAATGCATAATGGGTAAATTGTAGTTTCAAGGCCAATTTAACAGAAGTCAAATTGAAGAACAAAACCGTTTAATTATTACAATAACGTTTTAATTTGATGATTAATATTCTGATTGCCTTTTTTTTTCCTCTCCAAAACTATATATTGTAGGCAAAGTACAAGAACAGAACCGTAGCAATCATGGCAGCGTTTTTTGCTCTGACAACTCCGGTGGGAATAGCTATTGGTATTGGAATTACAAATGTTTACGATGCAAATAGTGAGAGTGCTCTTATCATTGAAGGAATTTTAAGTACAGCATCTGCTGGACTCTTAATCTATATGGCACTCGTTGATCTTTTAGCTGCTGATTTCATGACTGAGAGAATGCAAAACAATACTCGTCTTCAAATTGGAGCAGCTATTTCTATGCTTATAGGTGCTGGTTTAATGTCTTTTTTAGCAAAATGGACTTGAAACTTATAGTTACTTGTAATATTTTTCGAACTTGTGTGAGAGTCAACGCTTTCTTTGTAATTTTTTATAAGTAGTACTTGTGTGTGTGAGTCAGTTAAATAAGCTCTTCCTAGTGGTTACTCGAGTTTCATTTGGTCATGAGACCTTGAAGTTTAGAAGGATCGGTCTAGCCACCCCATATCAGATATGGAATATCCTTTAGATTAATCTTCTAATTTCTGTATGATTCAAACTTTGCCTGTTTGTATTATCTTGTGTATGTATATTATGTTTGAGTTCAATATAAATTTGACTCTCACAGTTTTATCAATGACAATCATCATTAGTATAATACAATATGTTGTGCTTGGTTAAATGACAATTTTCTTCCCTGGAACAATTATTGAATTAATTATAAACGTTATGGGCTATGACTGTAAGTGATAGTAATCCAAGTCGATTTTCAATCAATGAAATATATTTATTGGCACTCAATATACGCATAGCGGTTGTTTTAGAAAACTTTGATAAAAAAAGGGGCGAATCAAGGGATATGGATGGGATTTATTGGTTGGTTCTATAAACAACTGAATAAAAATTATTAAATTAAAACTGCCGATAAAAATTATATACCATTTATCCAATAATTCTTAATGCAAAAAATAAAAATATTTTTATTGGTTCAAGAAAAAATCTAAATCATTATTTGATGGTTTGGTCCAACTTTCAAATAGAATTAAAAGATGATCAAATTAAAGTGATAACGAATCACAAATATGTTGAGACTAAATAGGTATTGACAATCAATCACAAATATGATGATTCAGTTTTCTTTGTTAAAGCTGATAGACAAAATTGTGCTGTTTTAAAGTGATCTGTTATTGATATGTATCGTTGTGCGTCTAACAAAAGAGTTAATCTGGAAAAATCAAGTTTATTCTTCTCTGGTGGTACTCCTGAAAATATTAGAGAAGATTTGTGTGATCTCTTACAATATTCAGATGGTGGACTGTCCTGGGAAGTATTTGGTTCTTCCCGTACTGTGGGGAAGATCTAACATTGAGGCTTTGAGGTTTGTGAAAGATAGAGTATAGAGGAAGACTCAAGGTTAGAAAAATAATTTTTCTGTCCTTTGCTACCTGAAAGTGCTTACTAAATCTGTTGCTAGTGCTCTAGTTTTCTGGTGGGAAGGTCTTTCTTCTTCCTTGTTTGCTTCTTCGCCAACTTTTTCTTGATTATTCCCATGAATTAACAGTTTAAGCTTGATCCCAATTTCATTTTCTCTGCCTCCACTTTCTGTGAAGAGAACGTGAATCCTCCTGCAACCAAAGAGGAGATTGATTTACTCAATAGAAATATTTCAAAGCTAGATGAAGAAATGATTGACAAAGGCCCAGACTTACATCTATAACAAGAAGCACAAAATCAACAGACCAGAACAATTCCAATTGAAAAGCAAAGCAATGATCAACCTGGGCAACCAATGGATGTGAAAACCCCTAATGCTCTAGAAACCAATGCACATCTAAGCAAAGCAACAATGTTTTGAAGGGGGGGGTTAAAGCACCTATTTCTTACGAACAAAAAAAGTCCCTGATTGGTTATAATGGATGCTAAGGAATCAATATAGGAAGAGACATTCATCACATGAATGACACGATATATTTGGAAAAAAAAAACCAAGAAACTGATGGATCTATACCCATCATGATGGACCCCATGGCACGGGTGACATAGCATTAATGGCAACGAAGCCTGAGGATGGTAATCATGAGCATGGTGACATAGAAGGAGCCCAATACTTCCAATCCAATGTACCTAAAGACCCATTGCAACATATTGGAGGTCCAATGACAAGAGCTCGAACCAAAGCCATGAAGCAAGCCTTGTTCAGTCTTGTGCAAGAAGTTCAAGAGCTTGGAGAGCATTGGGGCACTCCCCTCAAGTCCAAAGGAGAGCATCTATACGTGTATAATGTATTTAAGATCCAAACTCATGAAGAGTCAAGCCCAAGAGATGCAGACCTTAGCCTAATGCAAGGAAGACTACAAGTTGAGCCTCTTGCATGCAAGGAGGCATGAAACCCTAGGAAAGAAGTCAAGGGTGGCGTGATTTCAAATCCTTTATCATCCCTTGATTGTCTCCTAAATTATTTCCTATTTTAATGGTCCTTTGATTTGATTTTCTATTTTGAGTCTAGTCAAAGGTTAGAATTAATTATAATATTAATTTCTAAATTTTGTAATCCCATAATTTTAGGATCACATCTCCTAAATTATGTGGCTGAATATTTTATCATTATTTCTCCTTTTAGTATTAGGAAATTAGGGTTTTAATTTTAGGAAATATTTTTTCTATGAGCCTATATAAATTAGGCATGCTCCCTATTGTAAACAACACAGAAGCTGAATGAAATTATTCATTTTAGAGTTTATAACTCTTGTGAACCTTAGTGCTTTGTGGTGGTATCCCGTGTGAAAAACCGACGTGATCAAGAGCGTGATCAACTCTTATGGTGTCTTCGAAGGTTGAGGTTCCTAGAGGCAGGTGCTCTAGAGGATCTTCTCCTTGATCATTATCCTATTATTTACTTCATACCTTTCTTTATTTCCGTCATAAATTTCGTCCCTTTCTTTTTGTTCTTGTGTTTTTGTTGTTTCAGGGTTATGTCCCTAAACTAGCACGATTCTGCTTCCGCGTCCCTATCACATCAGTTTAGATCTGTAATGAGGAGTGGAAAAAAAACTTACTTGCCTTGGATGGGTGCTATTGTCATCGATGCATTGGGCGTGCAACTGAATCTTAAATCTCTTAAACCTAGGTTAGCAAAGATGTGGTAAATTAAAATTTTTGGAACAATTGATCTTGTCAACAGCTACTACATAGCTAGAACCAATAATCAATCTTCTTATGACAACATCCTCAATGGTGGTCAATGGACAATATACAACCATTGTATTTTAGTTCAGCATTGTTACATCTCCTAGTTTCAACCCAAATTCTAATATGCTAGGCAAAATTGCTCTCTAGGTTAGACTTACAAATAGTCCAATACAATGCTATAACAAAGAGATACTCTAGAGGATAGGCAATGGCATAGGTAAAACACTAAAAGTGGATGCCAACTCTCTATCATAATCAAATTCTAATTAAGAGCATAGTAAAACAGAAAGAGAGAAATTTGTGAGAATCAGTGTTGAAGTGGATCTGCAAGAGAAACTTTTTCCTAGAGTGCTTATTAGAGATGAGCTTTAGTAATGTGAAGTATAAAAGTTTTAATCTCATCGGTTTTAGGTGTGGATGCTATGGCCATAATAAAAGCAATTGTCCTCATAACCCTAAGAACAGAAACATGGAGAAAGCAGTAGGAAAGTCAAATGAATAAAATCAATCCAATTAGAATATAAACCAAGATTCATCTATTGAACAAGAAAGAGAAAGCAAGAAGAAAAACTATCACCAAAAAATGACCATAGCAGCTTGCCAGAGTAGATTATAGTAAATGGATGAAATTCTGATGCCTAAAAAAGGCTTGAAATTAGAGCTTAGTGCAAAATTCAAGGACCAAATTAATCTCTTAATAAGGACACAATTTGAAAGTAGTAGCCACATTATATCATGATACTGACAACTAAAGGTGAGTTTCTAAAGCCAACAACATTCCATCTATGAACCACCCTATGAAGGTTGTTAGAAAAGAATGGAGGAATAAGGAGTTAGTTGGAGCAAAAAAGGTCAAGACTGAAGGAAGATGAGGTGGTGACCAAAAGCTCAAGAGGAAAAGAAAAGATGGGTGAAGATAATTAGGTTAGCAAGGCTACAAGAATTGGGCCAAGTTTTAGTTGGCAAGGCCCAAAGACAATTAATTTATCTATTAATGAAACTAATGAGCTTTAACCCAAAAATGCTACAGGGCCACCAAGAGAATACATAATGTTGTAAAGGGAAATAAAAGAAATTTGAGATCTTTAGAAAAGCCCACCAATAAAAAAAACAAAAAGCAAAAAACAATCAAGCCCACCAACAAAATTGAAGCCAATTAGAAATATATAAGGAGCACAGTTCTCCCTTGATTTAAACATATGGCCACTACTAAAAAAGTTGTGGGAATTTTTCTTGACAAAATTCTCAAATTCATCCTGACAAACATCTTGACTAGAGAAAGCTATTAGACTAAGAGATCAGTCAAAGCATTGTCATGGATTCTCAATTTATAGATGGCCCTACTATGGAATTTCAAAAAGAGATTTTGGGAGATGATAAAAAACTAGATGATTTTGCTTATAACAATCATAGTGATGAGATTTTGGATGACGACCTGCTAGATGAAGACTACAGACATAAACTACTCAATAATGATCTTGAAGGTGATGAATTTAGCAATGATCTAATAAGACACATTATTTATGTACTTTATCTATTCATTTAGAATTAATTTTACATGTTATATTCCCCACTTTGGTGCACTTATGGTCTTAATTGTGATAAAATCACTTAAAGGGCAAAGTTGTGCACTAGTAGTATTTTGGTCAAAATATTGAACTTTTGAGAAAATGTGCAAGAAGATTAGTCAAAATATGTTTTACGCCCACAAGAATGAATATGAAATTATATTTTAAAAATTCAATTGGGTTTGAGAGATATTAATTAAAAAAAATACAAATTAGGGTTGTTGACTCTGTTAACCTAATTAGGATTTTGTGCATGTGTGTGTGCATGGTGTTTTCACATGTGGCAACCCTTGAATTGAATTTTATTATTTCTATCCCATTTAAATAATTAATTCCATGTGTCAAGATATGAATTATTATGTCACATACATTTATTTCATTAAATTGTGTTCACTATGTGACATAGGTGACACATATGCACTTGAACTTGTATCAATTGGTCAAGGAAGTGTAAAAGGAAATTATGGACATAAAGTGGCATGCAAATGGTTGAAAGGATGGGGTAGATCAGATTTTCTAAGTGCAGAGCATGGGTTTATTCATATTAACATGGGAATTATCACCCAACCGATGAGAAAGTGCCACCTAAGGGCAGTATATATAGTGTGAAGCTCTCTTATGATTTTAAATTCATTTTGAATTAATTTTTGGAGCCAATCTGATCCAAATTTTAATATGCTAGGCAAAATTGCTCTCTAGGTCAGACTTACAAATGGTCCAATACAATACCATGATAAAGAGATACTCTAGAGGATAGGTAATTAATTGCATAGCTAAAACAATAAAAGTGGATGCCAACTCTCTATCGGAATCAAACTCTAAGGATGAGAATGGTAAAATTGAAAGAGGGAAATTGTGAGAATTAGTGTTGAAGTGGATC